CGGCCGGCGGGGGCGGGCGGCCGGCGGGGGCGGGCGGCCGGCGCCTACGACCGCCACGGATGATACCAAGCGCAGCGGGCGCAGCAGCACCTTCATTACTGATCGCAAGCATTGCCGCAATCGCCACCGGCACCGCCGACACCATCAAGAAGGGCAAGTTTCATGCTAGGAGGAAAGCTTCAACCCAGCTCGACTCCTTCTTGATGGCAACCGTCGTGTAGGCTTCAATTCCCGAATCGATCAATGCTTGCCTCACAAGGCCAATCTCAAAAAATGCATTGAATAGAAGCATCTGCTGAACCAGCAAATCGTACTTGCAGCTGCGGCTTCAATGCTGCAAAGGCAAAGCTGGCCTTCCCTTCAAAATCAAGCTCATGTTCACTATAAGCATGCGTTGAGCACCTACCTCCTGCCACATGAGCTAAACAAAGGTAGTCACATGGCCTGACATCCTGCAAGACTGCAATCATTGTTGTGACAGGATTCCAGCCGCCAGAAGCAAGTGCTGCACCTGAGTCTTCGGCAAGCTCAGCAAACAGCTACGAGAAGTTCTTGCGTAGTGCTTCTAGTAGGTAGGCGGCAGCAAACTCGGCCGCCAAAGGTTACGGCACCTGAATCTTGCAAGAATCAATTGGCTTGCAATTGGCATGGAGAGGGCCTCCATGTCCCGCTGCATGGCGCATCCGCGGCCGTCGCAACCAAACTTCGGGAGGACTTAATGGGTACTCCGCAGGAAAGCGGACACCAAGGGTCAGCTTCTTCATCTCAGGGTCGAACATGCTATCCTCATGACGAAGCAGCTACGAGTCTACGTCTAGTTCATGGACAGCGGCCTACATGCGTTTAGGTCAGCAGTACCAAAGTCAAGTTGCGGCGAGGCTGTCAAGGCTTTGCTGCAATCTCGACTCGGGAGGGAAAGCCATGTCAATGTCCCAGTCCTACCGCAGCATGGGGAAAACTGGGGAAAACGTGGATGCAGCAGCACACTCCTACTGATCTGCTTGGTGACCCAGCCCAAAAGTTCAATGCAAAGAAACACGCTGGGTGAAAAGTGGTTCAGTTGCAAGGCGTCCAGCATGTTGTCGTCCACTGGTTCACAGCGGACTAGGCCAGGCACTTGGCCATTTGCAACGGCAGACTGGAGATTCTTGTACCTGAAGCTCATGACATGGCAGGCTTCATAAAGCGATCTCCGCACCCAGCGCTAAGCCAGATGCTCCACGAGCAATCGCTTGAAGTTCAGCTTCGCCATTCTCTTACTGAAGTTGGTCCAGTCTCAAACGACTGTCCCATTTACTGCTCGACTTGCTGGGCCAAACCCCCAAGCGAGTGAGTTGATGAAGGCATGTTCATGTGTAAACGCGCACAGGCCAGAGTCAGAATCCTTGATTGAAGATAGTGTTGACATCTCTTCTTTTCTGGACACGGCAGTCTTGTAATCGAATATGTACAGCGCGGCAAGGCAGCACTGCCTGTACATGCTCATTGCCACCGCGAGCAGATTGACAAAGTCTGGTGAGTAGACTGCCGAACGTGCTAGCCCTGAGCGTGGGGACTGGAACGCTTCACCTGCACGTGACATGCTGTCTTGTTGACATGGGGCAGCAACCGCATGCAAGTGCAAGATTCCTAAGATGGCCAAAGCTGCAGCCTTCAGCTATCGAGCGAGTCGAGCACGCTATTAACTGCCAGCTCCTCGATCCACTGATTTTCCTCCAGCGCTCGCTTCGCCGCATCCCGGTCGGCCCCAGTGAAGGCAACGACCGCCTCTTCTACAAGAACAACTTTTGGCAACATGACTTTGCAGCTGGCTCTTGGCTAGATCCATCCTCGATGCGCTTTTCCTTCTCATCCTCTTCAGCCTCATCCACCCTTGGCACAAACACTGCTAGCACCGCTAAATTCCGCTAGAAGCTGCTAGATGTGAGAACATGCACAGAGCCGTGTCGGCTTGGCAAACGGGGCGCGGTGAGGCTGGCTTGGACACCGAACCCAGGGCCGCAGGAGGTCGAGGCTCCGGCCGCCTGAACTTGGTGGCAAGATAAGCACTCTGAAGCGAACGAAGCCAAAAGTGACTGGGCTCTGTTCTTCCGGAGCACCTGGACGCTGCAGTCGGTGGCAAGATCTCACCTGCCTGAAACTTCTTCTCTGCCTGGATGGAAGCAGGAAACCACTGACAAGCCACTTCATGACCTACACTACCCTTCCCAGCCAAGCCACAAATAGCAGACTCAGATCGGAAGATCACAGGCTGACTCTTGACCAACAAAGGATTAGCCCCTGCTTCTGTCTTTACATCCGGAGCTTGTACTCAGCCTAAGGACTTCGGCAAGAAACTCAGTTCGAATGGCTTTATCAAAGAACCTCAAACGGTCCTCACACCATTTAGGGATTGATGGCATGGGAATCTGCCCTGAAGCTAGGCAATGTGTGATTGCGGAGCCTACTCCAGAAAAGTCTGCCGCTGCGCAGGACAGCTATGGCATATCTGCTATGCCTCTTCGAGGCTGAAGCCAGCTCGCAGGAAACGCTGCATCTCAAAGGCACGCTGCGTCCTGCTCTTGCCAGCTTCAGATTGACACGAGGCTTCACAGGCAGCTGAGCAGCCTTGCCAGGAGCTCACTTTCATCCCGCTCCGGAACGGGCGGCGGAGCCAACTCCTGCTGCAGCGACAGCAATCAACGATAGCCAGCTGAGTTGGCTTTCAGGGAACGCCTCTGGAATCCCGGAGGCACCGACGGACTTCCTTGGAGATGGCGAATCCTCAGACAGGCATGTTTCTGCCTCTGCAACTGCTTCCTCACCTTGCAGGCATGCTGCACGAAGGACGGCAAACAGCTCTTCATCCTTATCCGGTGCCTGCTCCTCCTTCCAAAGCTGCGAGTGCAGAAGCTGCGAGTGCAGCAGCATGGGTGCATGAAAGTGCATGAGCAACACGCACAAGCTGCTAAGATACTGCGGATAGCCCGCAACCTGGACGCTCAGGGTGGTTCTGTGGAAGTCTTTGCTGATGATGTCATCTTTGCCCAAAACCTTTCCAGAATAAGCATCCGCAAACATCTGCAAGCATGATACCTGCACAAAAGCTGTTCCACAGCCTTCTTGGGGAACGCCATGCGAAGGTAGATGTTCCAAGGCAGCGCTGCTTTGGCCCAGGTACTCTGCAAGGCAGCCAGCGCCAAGCAAGCCACCGGTGCACCCTCTGAAAATTTACCTGGATGTTCCCAGCTTTGAAGACTTGATTCTGCGGAGAAGTGCAAGAAAAGATATCGTTTCTCTCATGGGCGCCTTTCACTTGCGATCCATCAGGCATTCTCAGGCCGATTTCCAAAGTGCCCTCGCCTTGGCGCATCCCAACGCATGCAAGAGCTCTACGCTCTGGACAAACTCGGAAAACTGGAAATGCGCTGCTGCGTGTGCTGCGACCACATATACTTGTAGTCATGGAGAATCATTGGCCACAGGTCGCTGCTGTCCGCGGTTGCTTTGGCGGATGCATTTGACACCAAGTCCTCTTGGAGACAAGTCCGACCAGGCATGCTTTCGCGCTTGGGGCGCAAGCCTTGTCAGATTCTGGTCCGCTTTTTGGCAGTGCCTTGAACCCCCTGATGATCTCTCAGTATTTGAAAAGGGCCTCAAAGATTGACAACCACCCATACAAGCATTCAACTCAGCCGTCCTCGTAGCGCTTCTCTCGAGCTTCACGGCGGCGATCTTCTATCTCCTGGCAATTCGAAGCTGTGGAAAAAGCAAAGCCAAGACTTTCTGCAGAAGATGCAGCTATCCTGACGCCCGGCCGCTGAACGCTCCCGGCGTAATTTCAACGACTTCAGCGCACGGTCCTGGAACTCCTCGCCCCAATCCGCAGCTGCCACAGAAAGGACCCGACAAGTCTGTGCCCAAAGACATGTCGACAGGGTTGCCTTCTGAAGCTAATTTGCAAAGCTACTCTGGTCTCAACCCAGCATGCAGTCTGTTGGGTGGCACGGGGCGATTCTGTACCCAGCGTGTGACCTTTGTTGCTGCTTCGTCTTCAAGGTCGGGCGCAGGCTCAAACTCCACCTGAAAATGCTTCACCCCGCATGGCATAAATTGAAGCAGATTACCGAGGCCTTGAACTCAAAGTGATGCTGGACGTCCATGTCCTTGCCAACTGGTTTTCATGCGAGGCGCAGCATGCAAACTTTCACCGAACTCAGCGATGCTCACTGCTCACCAGTACCGAGGTACAATGATCCGAACCGCACCATGCGGCTCCACCGTAATGACCTGCACCTCGAAGAGCCTTGTGCGCACACCCATGAACCAAATGGCCGTCAGAAAGCACATCATGCCAGCACCCCTTTGCAGGTAGAGTGCTTGCCGCTCACCTCAATGGGCACCGCCGTGTCCTCACAACCGCTTTAATTGCAAAAGCATTAAATCACATAGTCGGCCAGTTGCTAGCAGGCAGGCCTCTGTCAGAGTGCTGAAACGTGACAGGGATTCCGTGAGTAATTCCCGCACGTCTCGACCACTGTCCCGAACAGCACTGTAAAAGTCTACACTGTGAGGCTGCACCTTCACCTGAGATTCAGCAAACATGTCTGAGGCTGGCGACAGCTAGTGTAAACCCCCAAGCACTCATGCAGCCAGGATTCAGCAGTCACAAGGTCGAGAGACACGCCTCGCACTCTCACCGGTTCTCTCCTTGGCCAGTCTTTCAGAAAAGTTTTGGAAGCCTGCCCTTGGTTGGGCTAGACAATCGGGTGGCTCATCGATCGCAAGATCCTCCATGACCCACTTTGGGATCAGCACGTGCATGTCCGGCAAGCCGTCAACAAACTCGAAAATGGCACCTGGGGAACTTCAACGAGCTGGTCAACGAAGTTTAGAGCAACACCGGTCCATACATTTGCGGAGCATTAGTGGCAGCTGCAGGCGCAATGAGTCTTTCGCCCCAACAGCGTCTTCAATTCAAAGACCATTGGCAACACCAATTCCGCACCTAATTCAGCACGCTGATAGATGCTGTTCCTTGGCTGTTGCATCTTGAGTCCACATGTGATACCATTGGCCGAGTCAAGGAGCGCGAAGAAAGAGCACAGAGGGTTTTATGAAGATGCTAGGTAGGAACACACCGCATCAACCTGCTTGCCCAGTCTTGCCCGGCGTTTGATTCTCGTGCAGGCGCAGCCCGGCCCCCCCCCCCAACTGTAGAACCTGAACATGTGCTCTCTTCCGCCGCGTTTGATCTGGCAATGTGATAATGATGGGAAGGAGGTGAACATGGTCAAAAAAGATGAGAAAACGAAAAACTATTACAAATATGAAAATGACGAAAATAAACAGGATTAAGACAAACCACGAAGAGTGTGAAAAATGATAAACGTGATGAATACTTAACAATGAAACTCGTGAAAACAGGGCGAGAAACATGATGACAGATGCTTGCACAGATGTGCTTTGCAAAGTAACAGCAGAGTAACTCTTTTTATAATTGCAACACCTAGACAAAGATTTCAACATGTGCTTTCTTCCGCTGCGTTTGATCTGGCAATGTGATGTGAAAAATGATAAAGGGATGGACATGATCAAAAAGACTGGCGCAATAGAACTTAAAGCCAAATCCGGGGATCCCAAAAAAGCCGTTGGCGTAGTAGAACGAAGCTAGGGTTATAATCATCATAGGAGCACTCGTGTGGCAACAAGTTTACAGCTCAGGACATGTTTGAAAGAGTGATCACACAGCAAAGCAAGTCCCCAGGCTTTTCTCTTGAACCTTCCTTCCTGCCTCTGTCGCGCTTTTTCTCTAGCATTCTATGCTTTTTGTTGCTTCAATTCTTCTTGTTGTATTTCGGTTCTTTCGGTTCTTGAATTCCAACTGTCCTGCTTTCGTTATTTATCTATTGGGTTCACTCGTTCTCTTGTTGCCCTTTCTTTCTTTATATTTCTTTATCTATCTCTTTCCTTCATTCTGTCTTTGTTTTTTTTCCCCCTTCTTCCGCTCTCTCTTGTTTCTTAAGTTTCTTTCTTTCGTGTATTTATTTATTTTCTTTTTGTCTTTCTCTTTTTCTCTCTTTCTTGCTTTCTTTATGTCGCTCTTTCTTTCTTGTCTTATTTATTCCTCCAACCTTTCTTTTTTTAACTATTTCTTTCCTTCTTCCACATGCCATACGCGTCCTGGCGAACCAGGGGCGCGCTGGGGCTACGTCCCATGCAGGACTTGCCCGGTATGTCATGTAAATTTAGAGAAGCTCTCGAGTTCACCGAAAGATGGATACAGTCCCCATCACCCCATCTTCATCTTCTACCCCCCAACCTCTTCCAGTGCGCTTGCCCATCTCCCGTGGAAAATGGCCAGTCGACGAACTACGCTCCCGTGCGGCCGAAAAAGGTTGACGAAATAGTTACTAATACTCAGCAGCAACTTACCCAAACAACCCGACAGTGAAGGCACTGAGTTCATAACATACTTGTCTTTCGTCCTGCATCTCACTGCCAGTATTCCCGGGGCTTCATCGAAAGTGATGCACCGCTTCCCTATATGACGTTTCACAGCTCTTCCAAGATGTCGTTCCCCACCCAAACGCACACAACAGAGCACATCGAAACATCCTTTTCATGGAAAAATGACTTGGACAACGTCAACTTCACCATGCATCTAGGGTACCGATGAGGAGTATTCTCTATGTTCCCGTTCCCAATTCGGCAAGCAGACCCAAAAGCACGTTCCACCGTAGATTAAAATCCAACACTGCATCTCTCCTCATTGGTTCTCCTTGTCGTGCGGTAACTGGGTCCATATGATCCCTGCACCATTTCTTGAAATATTTACACTTGCTACGTTGCTGACCTCTGTTGCAGCTTTGGCATATGTAGCTTTTGCATGCGCCGACTTCGCCTGCTAATTCCCCGCTTCCCACCTCAAGGTGATCAACATCCACCAAAGCACAACCAAACATTCCTACCGGCCTCATCCTCTGCAACACAATTTCTTCCTTGTGAATGGGAGCCGCGAGTTATCCTGCATTGGATCGTTACGGGTCACGGTAAGCCAACCTCCCAGTAAGGCTTAGCTTCCTGGTTGTTGGCAGGCATGCCGAGTTCCTACTTCCCTTTCAGAAACGTGATGTTCCATAGCTCGGATTGTCACGGTTGGATCAATGTTTTCCAGTGTATCTCTGTCAAATTGCGCAAGTACATGGCTGTCTTTGCTATCATCTTTCACATGCAGTCATGCCGAATACTTCTCCACAAATGTTCGGATGCGGCGGTATGCCACCTGCTCCTCCATGTGGCTGCTTAGTTCCTGCAGTTTTCTCCCGAGGATATGAACTTCCACCTCATGGGGTTCTCTTGCTTCCTTCTCACACTTCTTGGCCACGACCAGTGTGAAAAACTTTGCTTGTTCAAGTTTGAATTCCCACTCTCCTTCTTGACGCTGAAACTCCCCGACAAGCGCAATGTGCTCCCTGAGCACCTTTACAGCTGGTTCTGCAGGCCTCGTGTTCCTTTGCCACGCAGGATTCTGTTCGGCCTGCCGTTCCTTCTGTGGTATCTGTGGCAATCCAGGGCCTCTTCCTCATTCTCGCCCCCATCCTGTGGTGCAATTTGTTGTTCCCTCCTCGGCGAGACAGGTGCTCCCACGTTCCAGATGTCGTCCTCTTCGTCCCCTGGCGTGTCTTCCCTCACTCGTATTGGCGAGGCCGGGGCTTCTCTGCGCCACATGTCGTCACTTCGTTCTGCACATCGCTCTTCCCATGTTCGCTGCTTTGCTGGTTCTTGGCGCAGGAAATCCGGGTCCACTCTTGCTCGTTCGGGTGGCTCCACCACCCGCTGCTCCCTTCTTTCTCTTTCGTCGATCTTGGATTCATCCACTCTTGCACTTTAAGGTGGTGGTACTCGGGTTTCTCCTTCTTCTCGGTCGGCAAATTTTCCTGCATTCCTTTGCCCCCCTCTTGGCTGGCTCCCTTCTTCGCGGGCTTCTCTTCCTCCTTCTTCCGGACCAATGGTTTTTTCCGTGAACTTTTGCCTCCGTTTTGTCCCTCTCCCCATCTCAGGATTTGTTCGATCATATCAAGACTATCCTCCTCTTCCACAATTGCTTCGCCAGTTCCCGGAAGGGGTGGTGCATTGTTCTCTCCAATCCTTTTTCCCACGATGGCTGTCTCCTGTGGTTTCTCTTGCTGGCCTTTTGCCTGCTTCCTTTTCCTGGACGTGGAGCTTGATGTGGAACTCGTGGATGACGAGGTAATTGTTTCCTGCTGTTGCGCGTCTTGGCCTTGCAGTCGAAGGGTCATGAGCAGTCGGTGCTTGTCCCTCAGGCCACCTTTCGCTGCCCGCTTCATTTGCTCCAGCATCGCTCCCGGTACGTAGTTGGCACACTGCCCTCCATATGTGTGCTTTTGCTTAACCCCCCAAATGCATGCGAGGCATACACCCTCTTCTCTTCCACTGGCTGTTGTGTCGGATTGTCGTATCCACGTTCCCTTTTTGCAATTTGGCTCCTCCCAGGTTGTCGGCGCTCCTCTCCAAGTGTCCACCTCTGGCAGGAACAGTGAAGACCCCCACCCCCGACAGAGGCCTTGGCCGAGAACGCTCCCCCGAAGGAGAAGCGTGGCAGAGACTTGAGCCAAAATGGCTACATTTGTTCTTTCTTTCTTTCCTCCTCCGGCTCGGGGTTCCAACATTTGTTTTTTGATCTCTGTTCAGGAGGCTACAACTATTGAGTTTCACTGCAGGGTCCAATTTGTTGTTTTGTTTTTGATCCCCATTTGTTGTTGTTCTAATCCTTAGTTGCCGTCTCGTTCTCTGCCAACCAAAGATTGCTGCTTCTTGAAGAACGTTCATGCTTTTACTTCTGCCGCAGTGGCGGAATTACGACATGTCCCTTTGCGTTCACCTCGCTACCTCCGGCGCGGCCCTGGCCAAAGTGCTGACAATTGAGATATCGGCTGCAGTTGATGCTAGTTGCATTTGACCAGTGCGGACGAAAGCTAGTCCACTATGCAGGACTTGGTGGAATCGCGGTGAAACAAAACGCTCGCATCAGACATACGGTGGATACTAAAAATCCTGCATGACCCTAAGTACCATATACCTTGGGAATTATAGTACTATAGTATATTAAGGTCATGCAGGATTGTTAGTATCAACAGTATCTCACAACATATACAGTAGAAAGCATACAAGGCGGAATCAACGGTTCTTCAGGGGAGAGCGGCAAGGTCAGAGGATTGTAAGTGCTAAGGTCAGGGTGGGGATGCGGAAGGTTCTTTCAGGCTTTTAAAACCTGGCGGTCTTTAATGTTAGACGCAGGCCGGGACCAGTGGCAAACAGTAACTCTGGAAAGCTCCAAAAACCCTTGGTGACATTCCGAGCAACAGAGCCCATTAGCAGAAATCACAGGCACTAACTACTCATGTTGTCCAAGCTTCGCATACGCGAATGGTAGCCCAATCTTGTCTGTGGCTTCCAGCCTGAAAACAGAATCAATCTTCCGCACTAGAAGCCCTAAACCCTAATCCCTAAGCCCTAAACCCCTAAACCCCAATCCCAAAACCCTAAATCCCAAACCCTAGACCCTAAACCCTAAAAGTACTACTGAGGATGCAGCAAGCCTGGAAAGATCACCCAGAAAGGCTGAAGCTTCCACCGGAGAAATCGCTGTCATTCCATCTTTGCAGAAACCGTTCACAGTGGGGAAGAGCTCAGTGTTGAGACCTCAGACTTTCGTTCACATCTGTCAAAGCCTACAGCTTCAAGCACTGAGCACTACTTCACTCTTGTCTTCGTACACGCCAGGCGGCGCTGCAGCTGCACCGCGGCTTTTGGGTATTCCTGAGTTAAATACTCAAATCGTATGAAGTCTTGTGAGGCCTTGTTACACTGGCAGCCGCTGTCCTTCTTGACACAAACGGTGGTGTTCGCTTCGATGCCCGAGTCCACCAGGCTTTGCTGCACCTCCTTGAGCACTGCGAGCATGGAGGTCGCTGGTTGCCAGCCCGCGGATGCTAGGAGCATGCCTTGTCTGAAGCAAAGACGGAGGGGCAACTCTGCAGGAAATTGCGCTTGCACTTGAACACTTATGGGCATCCTTGGCGCTACAGACGCGGCCTCCGAAGGTGACCGGGCCTTTCAAAATTAAAGCAGCAACGATTGTGTAGACATTGAAACTGGTACAGTCTCTGTGTGAGGTGCCTGACTGGCCAGATCGATATCGCATACGCGGTCGCCGTAGCCAGGCTTCAGGTGGGCTCATGGGGAACTCCACCGGGAAACGAATGCAAAGCGTCAGCTTGTTCAGGCTGCTATCGAACATGCTGGCCTTGCAGCACACTTTCAGCAGCCTTGTGTTGGCTTTAGGGCCTACCTGCTGGGACAATTCAAGACTCACGGCCCGATACCACATGGAGGCATTATGTTCTTAGTGGACATCGGTCACCGAGTTGCCGCCAGATTCTCCAAGCTCTTCTGCAGAGCTGAGTCTGCAGGGAAGGATATGTCTACCTCCCACTCCTTCAGATTGGCATACACACTTGTGCGCATATGTGCAAGAATTTTGTCCAAGGCACCATTAGATTGTCTTCGACAGGGGCGCAGCGGTGAAAGCTCGGCACTTGGCCGGCAGCGATGGCCGACTCCACCTGTTTGAACCTCAAAAAGAGACAAAGTGGGTGCACTTCGTTGTGCTCTTCTGGGGTTCCCAGCTCGACCATGAGACGCTTGAAGTTCAGTTTGGGCATCTCCGGTGCTCGCGGAGCTTCACCCTGCAGCCGGATTGTCCTCTCATTGCTTGTGGAAGGATTGATCTGGACCATTCCTTGCACAATCCGGCACATATCACAGGATCGTTCTTGTCAAAATGCAGGTTGCACCAAGGCACTCTTGAGGCTGATCTTGTAGTACTGGCCTTGTGCAAAAATCTCACCTCAGCTGACTCGAGAGCTCAACGCAAGGACAAGAAAGCTGACGCTGACTTGGCCAAGGCTGGCCAAGGCCGAGTCGCATTCGGGCTGGCCTTTCTCGGCCGCAGTCCGCAAGATTGCTTGGGCCTCGTCGTCATACCTAGTCCAGCCCATGTCGGTCTTCACCTGTACAGCATCGTGCCCTTGCCCTTGCCACCCTTGCGAAAAGAAAAAAAAAAAGCTGATCAGCTTGCCTGGTATCCCGGTGCTTGGGGCTTCACCGTTGCTTTCAAGTCCAAGCCACCAACACGTTCGCTGCCTCCATCCTCCTGAGCAGGTCCCTTCCCATGTTGCAGGGAGGTTCTGGCAGGAGCTGTGGTAGCGTTGTGCCATGCAAGTGGTCATCACAAGGTTGAAGCATGCTAAAGCTTCCAGCTGCGTGCTCGCTGCGCCCGTCCTTGCTCTTGGCGGCCTCTTTTGGCTTTGGGGCGACTTTGGTCAGCCTTCCTGGAGCACCAGGCTACAAAGGTCTACTTCTCACAGCCATAAGTGCTTCGCACCTGCATCTGATGTGTCAAAGGTCGTGAATGTCTGCACGGCAGAGCGTAGAGCGTGAAGTTCTCGAAGCTCTGCAGCCAGTGCCTTTACAAGACTTTCAGGCACTGCCTGTACCACCAACCAGTTGGCAAAACCACTTGATGCTGTGTTGCCTTCCTGGTTGCCTCTAAACGCTGAAGTTTCTGCGCTTCGGACCGGCTGGGGGCATTTTCCTGAAGGCTGTCATCCACAAGCTGGAGCTGGCAACCGGCAATTGTTTTCGTAAAACTCTGCCGGATGAATTCTTATCATTTCCATTGGTTCGCAGGGTCCGCAAACGATGCAATGCCCAGCTCAAATAAAAGAATCATCTCTTGTGTCCCGACCCAATGGCCTTGGCCACCTGTGCCTCCTTGCCCTCGCGGCCAGCACCGAGGGCTTCGGCAATCCAGCCCCGGAAAGCCGCCGACTGCCGGGAGGAAAAGAAGTCCCTCAGAGGCACTAAGGCTTCGAATGCTTCAGAAGTCCCAGCTGAGCCCAAGAAGCGCAGCTAGGCCTATGAAGCACTTTGTCGAGAGGCTGGCTCTGCAGTGTGCCCAGCAAAGCGAGGTAGTTGCCTGCGGCCGGGTGACAGGCAGCCGAATGCACTGCAGGAAAATAAATCTTCCACTGACTGATGAAAGTTTAGGTGCTTTGGTCTGTGGCATAGAACTGCCCAGACTGGTACTCCTTCCGCATGTGCGTGACCACTTGGAAGATTCCTGCCAAATTGCAGCCACATGTTGCGAATGCTGCAGGTAGTAAGGACACCAAAGCCATACAACTTGCCAAGGGCCAAGGGTCGGCTGGCCAATTGCGCTGTGACCTCGTTCTCATCTGTACAATTGAAGATAGCGGTGTTGAACCTCATGTCAGGGCAAAGTTGAGGTTCTCCTCTCTGTTTTTTGCTCTGGCACATGCCTCCAAAGGTGCTCGCCATCGAAGTGGCGGACCTTTTCAAGCTCTGCCACCACCTCCTGTGCCGCAAAACTGGCTTCCCAGCACATTTTTACGTCGCACATGTGCGCTCGCTTGTGCCCTTGCCTGCTACTAGGCTGTACGGAACCTGTCCAATTGTGCCTGGCCTCTACTTGAACGATCACATGGTGATGCATGGTGCGTAAATGCATGCGCAGCTGTCCCAGCTAGAGGAGACAGGTCAGCAGCTCATCCAACCCACCACTGAACTGCATTCCGAGGCCTCAATTGACATAGCTCGGTCACCACTCGAGGCGGGTGCTGTTAAGCAGCTTCCATGCTGGCACAGCCCATCTGTTGTTTTCACATGTGCTTGATCTGCATATCTGGGACCAGACAAATGCAACTTGCTGCAGGGTGAACCCATGATGTAACGAAGCATGGGAATGCGAAGCTCCAGGGCTGATGAGCCACGTACTACTAAAGCAGACAGCACATATTCGCACATCGTGGTACCAGCTACCACCACGACACCGTCATGCATGCAGCTGACAAGCTGGCGTTTCGTTATGGCAGCAGTCTTGCAGATACACTGCACAAGCCCTCGCGAGCGCTCACCCTGCGTCTTTGGGTCACCTGCAGGTGCGGATTGCCCACATGAGAACTCCGGTGCCCGAGGTACACCCCGCACATGATATGCGACCTCAGCCCGCCCCTCAGTTAGATGCAAGCCAGAACAAGTCGCCTTGAAGAAAGTCGCCTTGAAGAATGAATCACTTAGTTGTCTTTTGCACGCGCATGGGTTGTAGCCACTCTGGGTAAGTTGGCTGTTGTCAAAAGTGGCGGTGGCGCTTTGGCACATGACGGCACGCCATGCAGCTCCTGTCCAAATCGTGTCGTGCAACTGTCTTTGTCTTCCCAAGGTGCGGTGACGAGTGCAGGCGGGATCTGATCCGACGGGAGCTGAGGAGAAGCAAATCCACCACCAATTGCGCGTCACTGTAGCTGCGAGCGAACGGCGTCTGCCATTGGCAGAGTTGACGGCTGCGCAGCAATTAAAGAATTGAATTCAGCAACTATCTGCCTTTCCGAGGTTGGTTTTGCTACCTCCGAATAGGCAGATGATCTATACTGTACAGCTAACACCTCAGACAGAATATACATCCCATGAGGTGGGAAGGCTTCTAGGTGGCGATCAGCAGAATACCTGGACACACAACGCGAGGACTGCTCAGAATCTCCACGTCACCAAAACACCACCAACTAATTAAAGCATGTCAGGACGCCTCAGAGTTCTTCGTCCGCCGGTGTCCGGTCTAAATGCGTTCCATCTTGCAGGAACGTGGTTCCGCGAAAGCCTGCTGCAGAGTCTGCAAGCCCTTCAAATTTGTTCGCAAAACATCCCTCATCGAGGCTTTAGGCAAGGCACGGCGGTGCTTCTTGATGTGAGCAAGGTCGGGCAGCTCGGCCAGAGCGGAGGCCGGTCGGCACTGCGAGTACCAAATGCTTTCCTCAAGTATGCAGAACGCATGACACAAGTACCGCCACCACTGCAAACAACCTGTCGCATGTCAGGGCTCTCTGCATTATGTAATCCCTTCCCCCTAATATTAAATCCCCCCTAATATCAAATAGTAAATTCAGAGGCCTAAAAATCCAGAAGACTACTTTTAAAAGGGGAAGACTACTTTTAAAAGGGGCCACCTAACAGTGAATTAGGTGGTTTTGAGGTCGTTGGGGGTATAAAAAGAAATACAAAGGAATTAGGGACCCGCTTCATTTCCTAGGTTTTGACTGTTTTTGATATGGTTTTAGAAAAGGATTTTGCATACAAGAACTTCGTGCGATTTTAATTGATGCTATTACCATTTTGGCCGTATCTAGTTAAATCTCAAGTGAATTTCGTTCGATTTCACTTGGTTTTAAATGGATGTGAAGTCAGTTGAAAGTTCAGTAAAATTCATTTTCAAATCAATGGAAATCGAATTAACTTCACGTTAAAATCAATTGAAATTTACTTAAAATTCCCCCCTTCTTCCAAAATCAATTGAAAATCAATTAAGATTCCTTTTAACACCCATTGAAATCGAATTGAAATCACGTTAAAATCCACTGAAATCTAATTCAAATTCCTGTTAAAATCAATTGAAATCGATTATCTAACTTAGCTTAAAAAATAGCTTAATTAAATGTTTATTTATTTTAAAGGGAGTCTTCTTTGAATTTCAATTGATTTTCATGGGCTTTTAATTCAATTTCAGTTCATTTCAAAGGCAGTTTGGTTAATTGTTCTATTGATTTTGAAGGAAGTCTCAATTAAATGTCAATGGAATTTTAACAGGATTTTCGGTTAGATTTCAATGGATTTTAGCTGGGTTGTAATTCAATATCAATCGGTTTTACAAGGAATCTTAATTGATTTTCAAGTTTTCAAAGAAAGGAATTCTATTCAAATTTCAACTGATTTTAACGTGAGCTTAATTCGATTTCCATTGACATAAAAACAGAATTTTACTTCAAGTTGAATTGATTTTAAAGTATTTGAATTCGACTTAAATTGGTTTGAAACGAATTTTTAGACTAAATGCTTATTGATTTCAAAAGGAATCTTATTTGAATTTCAAGTGATTTTACCAGGATTTTAACTAAATTTCAATTGATTCTAAAGGGAATTTAATCCGATTTCCAGAAGTATGTAATTGATTATTCAATTTCATGAATTACTTTAATTATTCATTTTCCATGGAAATTAAACGGAGTTTAAAGGCAGCCCTATCCAATTCCTTCAATAAATATCCTCCCTATTCAATAATATTGAATAAGGCCCCGATTATCTAGTATTAGGGGGGGCGTCGTTTAATATCAGGGGAAGGGATTAGTTATGTTGTTACACTCGCTGCTTCCTGAAATTCTCCAGTACGTGTTTGCTCGATCGAACCTGACTTCCGTTGCGGGCCTGCAAGCTGTTTGGTGCTGTGTGGCTGCTGCCCATGAAGCATCCAAGATGCATGTTCCATTTTATGCTATACCTAGTATGTCCCGCACGTCCTGCGTCATTTTAAGGCTTGACATCGGACTTTGTCTTCGAAATTGCGTTCAGCAGATGGTTCTCAAAATTGTGTGGTGTTTGCATTGATTCAGGAAGACCTACAGTTTTGTTGGTCACTAGACTTTACAGAAAACAGCATTCAGACTTGATCAAGAGACGGCGAGGCAAACGTATCCAGCTTCACAACAAGTAGGGCCATCCCAGTTTCGGCCACCGCAAGCTGCCCAAGCCTGTGAGCAAACACTTGGTGAAGAGGTAGACGTGGCCTGAGCTCTGCATTTGCTTCTCAATAAGAACGTAGCAGCTGGAGCGCAAAAGATCACAAAAGGAATAAGCTCCAGACACCAGGGGGGGTGTAGCGGTAGCAGGCGAAACCATTGACATCAGCACTGGCATCGATGCTTCTGGTCCAAACCTCGCACCTACCCCTTTCTGAGTGCTCGATGCCGCGGCAATTCTCATCCAGCGCACATTGAACTTTGCATTGTTCAAGCGAGGTCCCAAAAAAGACGGCGTAATAGCTTGGGGAATTATCTCTGGCACTCGATCCACGGCAGGCCTGATTGTTCTCAGTACCGACTGCTTCAAAGCTTCCCAGCACCGGTCGAGTCGTGGTGGGCAACTCGCCCAAGCGCAAGCATGTAAAACCAGTCAGGGGAATCGAAGCCTGGATTCCACCAGGCCGAGTCCACACTTCGCAGCGTCCACGCGAGTTGTGCTCGATGCCAACGCAGCCGCCTGTCCCAACACACTTTGCCTTGCAATCATCCAGTCGTGGCAAACCATTGAACACGGAATAGTAGGATGCAGAGTTGTCTCCTGAGCTTTGTCCTCGACAAGCCCGTCCATCGCCACCATCCACTGGGGAAAAGCTGGAGAGGCTGATTGAGGTGCTGGTGGTGCTGGTGGTGGTGGTCGTGGTTGTTCCAGCCTCTCTATCGCAGCAGACTGAATTGCACAACTATAATTTGACGAGCTGACAACACTGAAGCATCAAGGCAAGTGTTAAGGCAAGCCACCGGTCTTGTCGTGGAGGGCTCTGGCGTTGTCGGCGTGGGGCCACTTCCACCAGCGGTTACTTCAATGTCTGCACAGTTCCAGAATTCCTCGCCAAAGCTTCCACCAGTTCGGCAGCAACTGTTCTCGCAGTTTGCCCAGTCTGCAAGAATCTGTGGTTGCCACGCTGCAGCATCCCATCCGACGGCTGCTATTCCACGGTAATAGTCAAAGTAATCACCATCGTAATAACAGGTGTTCCCAGATGACCAGTACCACTGTAAGGTGCACCTGGCAATTGAAGACAGACGGCTGGAACAAACTTGAGAGGGATGCAAATTAAACTAGAATATAACTAGCACGCAAGAAACGGCTAGCGGCTAGCATGCGGGCCGAATAATTGCCCTGCCTGGAACATTGCAGGTCATCAGGAATCTTGAATCTCATGCGGTGCACTTCTGCTGATGATGGGTATTTTGGTGCCATGGAGTCATTGAAGTCCCTTCCGGCCACCTGTGTCTGCGATCCAGCAGGTGGCAAATACCATCTTTCCGGATGCTTCGGATCTAGTGGCTGACAATCGCCTCTTGAATCATTGATCACGCAGTCTGCCAAAGGCGGTGCACGCTGCAACAACCACTTGTCCAAGCATTCTTGCCCTTCTGCAACTGAAGCCAACGATCCTGCCTCAAGCGGCTTGTCACATATGCGGAACTCGTAGTGCCCCTGATGATGTGTACTCACAGCCACTTGGAATTCCACCACCTCTCCTGCCCTGTAGGTTGCTGTCACATCTCCAGACTTGAGGTAGGTCTCATCTTCAAGTTTCACAGGATTGCTTCTTCCCTGGACAGGGTCGCCACAGAGGCCGTGAGAGCCTGGTGCCAGGCGAGTTGGCCACACGCCACTTCCCCGTGCTTTGACATTGTCAGGGCCACCTGACTGCAAGCAGTGTGGGCAATCTTCCAAACCTGCCAAGTTTGCAAGTAAGTTCCGGGAAGGAGGTAAAGCAAGGTAGGAATGGCCCAAGGCTGCCACAGGCAACCATGCTAAGAGCCTCATCGCCATTGCCGTCTAAGACGAGCTTCCTGACCCTGCTTGTGCCAAATGGCTCGGGAAGTCTCCAACTGCATGACTGACCCAGGCGACTGTGCTCCTTTGCACTACTTCTCTGGACTTGATCATGTTGAAGGCAGCGCCTTCAGCGTGAGGAGGAGGCCGAACAGAAGCGTCAGCACAAATGCCTTACTTTCCCGCGAATCCCGCAACAACGCAGAAAAGCTCAAAAGATGGGCGATATTGGGCGATGCTTGGCATCCGAGGCGCGCATTCATACGGGGCTGGAGATCCCAAGTCTGGAAAATGCCCAGTTGCCATGAGCAAAGCCTGGGACAAGCTCTTGCCAGTCACAGTTGCCCGCCCCTAGCTGCTGGGCTGATAGACACAGCCATGGCCAGCTCTATGACTCCTAAACTCCCCGGTGCAATTGTGGCTGGGAACTACCAGCATCTCAAGGACAACCGTCCCACCAAGCAGACCGCCGAGGAAGTAGAAACTTGGATGGTCAGCACTCCAAGCGAATCCATTGGGTTGCTGTTGAACACATCCCTTGTCCCAATGAACTCCAGTCGGCGCTTGTAGGCAAGGCTCCCAGCTTCCTCGGTACTCCAACTTCAATTCACAGAACCATCCCATGGACACCTGCAACCAAGACTCGTCGAAGGCCTCCACTGATGCCGCGAAGCCCCTCGACCACATGCAGTAGGTGGGGGCCGCGATCCCACACCACAAGCTGCCCAGCCTCGCTGCTCGAAATCACTTTTGCTTGAATGCACAACCGCTTGTCCGGCAATGACAGACGTAGGGACTTAGTAACCACCTTCAATCTAGCTTGGATTTTCGGCTCAACCCGCGATGCGCGCACCCTTTCTCTATCTGCTATACACGGTGCTGTTGCCGTAGAAGTTGTTGGACATCTCTGCAATTCATGGAGCAGAATTGGAGACAGGGGTCAGCATCAGCAAGGTGAACTGCACTGGCTCATCTCGCAGAACATTCCTGACACGCGCTGTCAAAAAACAACTGTTTTTTAACCGCCAGGCAAGATATGAAGAACCAAAATGTGCAACTGCCAGCGGCATCAGATTCGCAGCGCGAGGTGCTGGGGAAAGCTGCTTCCGAGAGGGCTTTGGCTGGCCCAGTCTTGAGCCAAAAGCACAGCCAAACCGACACAGAGCCACAATCTCCCACAGCCCCTCTGTAATTTGTCAATTGGCCGGGTTGGCCCAAGGACCGAAGCTTGCAGGCCCTCAGCGGACGTAGGCTCAAAAGGAACGCCTGTAAGAACGTACGCAAGTTGCCCAGAATTGTGTCCCTGACCGGTCCGCTTGGTGCAGCACCTGCTGTAGCAAAGGCATGTGCCGTCTCTGATCAAGGCTTCAACCCGCACCACTTGAAGCAACTGCCTGCAAAGACGTGTCCCAGCGCCGCGCAGCCAAAGACCATAGCAGCATTTCTGTTTCCTCAAGCCTGTTGGCATTCAGCGCCGCGCAGTCTGCATCAAATCCGCTTCCAAATATTCCAGACGGTCTGCTTCTTTGGCAAGTTGAACGTACGCGCAAAATGCCACAGCGAAGGCCTGAACGAGACAAGCTTGGCCAATGAGACCTCTGTAACCTTGCACAATCAGGGCCAGCACAGAGCTCGCACGCAAAGACTTTGGGCTTCCGGCAGCTGTCATTGACGAACTGCCAGCATCAGACGGGGTCCCCAGCGCCTTGCACAAACTGTGGTTACCGCAAGTCACAGCGAGTCATCTAGAAACCGCTCATCAACACGACAGTTGCGATGATGCCTGCGCTCTGTTGGCAAGGTCCTGCGTATTGAGAGCTGGCAATTGGGCATGTGCCTCGCGGGCTGCCTGATCAAGCTGCAGTGCAACCACTGGCTCTGATGGATGTGTTCAGGATGCAGTGGTAAGCTGTGGACATCCAGCAACATGTGGCCCCGAGTCTCCTTGGATGCAGCACTCAATCTCTGGTACTTCCTGGTTGAGCATGCTTGGCAATGAATTTGCAAATAAGAAAGCTGAGTCCGAAACCAGAGTCCCGAAAGCTCAGACAATGCTCGCAGCGCTTTGCGGATCATACTTGCCTCCCATAAGCTACCCGAAGCTCAAACAAAGACAGCTGCAGAATACAAAGGAAACCCGCACGCACTATTTTGCTACCGGAATTGCGGTAGGCGCTGCGGTACGGCAGCTGGCCTTGCACTGAGAAAGATGGCTGCAGTCCGTTGGCTGGTGTCTGGTGTAGGGCAAGGCGCGGCCAGGACAGCACCCTGATGCTGCCCAGGAACTGCAGGAAGCTCCCTCTTTGAAGCTGCGAGCCGCTGTGCCCATGCGTCTGCGGCCTCAGCAAAAACTGCACATCCCTGAGACCTGCACATCTGCCCCCCAGCGGCCCAACGATTTTACATGGTGCAAGTGAGAATCTGGTACCATGCCCACGCTGGACTTAGCCCAGCGTATGGTGCATGCGCTGCGGACACTGCAGGATGAAGAGGTGCGGTGCTTTGCGGAACAAAATGTCCTTGGACAGCCAGGCTCTGATTCCTCAACTTGGTGCCGAAGGGTTAAAGCCAAAGTTCTTCCGTAGGGGCTGTACAGCGGCAGCCTGGCAAAGAACTAGGCAGCACAGCGCCCTCCGCAGTAACAGCAGAAGTCTTGGCTCCGGAACCGCCAACTCGAGTTATGCGCTGCAACTCATACCCATGCCCTGCATGCGTGCACCTCCTTGTCGCATTTTCCAGAATTTGTGAGAGGGCAGGGAACTGATGATTCTGAGGCAGGTATTCTTCCAAACTGGAAATTCGGCGGGTGGGGCCGGGAGCATTGGCAAGATTCAAGCAAAATGAACAAACTCTCCGGTCGGCTTTGCAAACAAGAATGAGCCTGTCCAAATCCACTCTGAAGAAGCACCCGAACCTTGCCAGACCGAATGAGAGCGACGTTGATATTGAGTAGAAACTGCTTTGCAAAGTACACCCCGAGTCGAAATTCAGAATGAAGGCAGTCTAAACTCTTAGGATGGGTGGGGATGATGCTTTGTCTAGGTTGGGCGCCCTGACCATCGCTGTCATCATGACAACGGCGGCAGGACTGTCAAACAGACAGCCGGCGCAGAAGAGGTGGACACAATGATGGTGAACAGCACATTCAAGGTATTTCTCTTTTATTAGTAAGGGCGCCCTGAATCTGTTGTGTCACAGGTCACGTGCCATGAAAGGACCGCGTTTTCTTGCGCGCATGAAAGTGGAGGGATCCCTCTTTGTGGGAGGGATCGAGAGTCAGGTGTATTACAGATTAAACAACTACAGACAGCGTCCGGATTCGCTCGGTTTCATTTGGGACCATTTGCAGCCGCCCAAGACGCTTTTTTCAGAGTCCGGAATCGCTCGGAACAATTCGGGACCGCACTATTCTGTGTTGCTTGTTGCGTCTTCCTGTCAATTTTGCAATTTGTCCGAAGACGTCCGCATGTGTGTATTTATCAGTTTCGAGATTCTAGAGCTTTCATTTCTTGATCCCAGCAAGCATGGAATACAGAACATCGGAAAAGGTACATTTCCTGTTTTTGTGCTACAGAATGTTAACTGCAAAAACTAGATGGTCCTGACAACGCGCCATCTTTGCCACCATTGGGTCAGGCCTCCCTGCCATGTCCCTAGGAAGCGTGGTCGGCCTCTGGTTCATCTCCGGGCTCAGGGCAGGAGGCTCTGGGGCAGGTTCTGCAGCCATCTCCTCTTCAGCTCAAAATCTCCTTCTACAGCTGCCAAGCTGCCAAGCCCTAGCAAAAACAGCTCCGCTCCGTTGCGGTGGGGCTGCGTCGATCGGACTCTGCAGGACCTCAAAAGCGAGTGGCACATGTCTGCACCAGATGGCACCTCAGGAGTGCACAGAACAAGGTTGTCACAATGTCACGAGGGGCCTGTAGGAATGCCCTCCTGCTCCATGGCCGGCATGGACACGACAATACGTTCTTGTGTGCTCCTGCGTGCGATCGCACAGCGGCAAAGCAATTCCCTAGATTCGGTTGTTTGTCTGTCCATGTCTGTCCTGGCAGTTTCTGCAGCACAGCAGTCCGATGCCCACTGCAAGGCCGGCTGCGCTTGACGGCCCAAATGCGAGACACCGTCCGAAACCTGTCAGGACTCCGTAAGGCATACGCCACTTCGTGAGGGGAGCGGAGCATACACAGAAGTCCCACGGTGAGATGCCATGCTAGACTGCTAGACAGCTAAGGCACTCTCTCGACAAGGGTCCTGTCTGCCCGGGACGCCAGCTTCTCAAGCCAGCTGGGGTTCACCGACAAGGCAAAACTTACCAGAAGCCATGCCTGTGCAAGGGCAGTCTGCCATGCTGGGGCACACTGAAAAGCCGACATGCATAACAGCTAGCAGCTTGAGTGCTCTGACTGAGGCACCCTTTCATCCGCTCCATCTGCAGTAACCAGTGGCAGTGGCATCTCTTCGGACTCCCAGAGCTCTTGCGAAGGGGTCAGGCCCTGTTCCACACATGCTGCCACAACACATGACAGCATTGTAGTCACGACAAGTTGCGCTGTTGTTTTCCATGTCGCTTTCTCGATTCTTGCCAGCGACCTCACATAAAGATGTGCGACACGCCCCAAACATGCACAAATCCTCAGAGATCTTGAACATCTTCACAGGCAAGTCCTGGCCGTGACCTGGCCTCCGCCATTTTCTGCTGAGAGCAGGCTGGCAGGATGCGGCGCCTGCATGGAGCTGGCGTTGCTCGGGTAGCTACGACATGTGTAGATTGGTGTGGGGTTGCACGCTGCCTCAGATCAAGGGTGCAGCACCCAACTTGACTTGGCCGAGCCAGGTCTAGCTGGAGGGGCCCGAGGCGCATGTCACTCCTCGTGTACAAGCGCAGGGAAAGCCCCGAAGCAAGCTCCGAGAGCTGCACCTTACTTTCCAAAGTTTGCCCAAAATCTACGCAGTCTGGCGCAAGGCAGAGCTCTAAGAGGATGACGGTGAAAACCATCGTGTCCCCAAGGCGCCATTCACAGTCCTCCAGCAGCTCCAGCACGAGCAGAGAATCTTTGCATGAAACACGTGGTCTGACGAGTCCTGAAGGCTGGTGGGAGCTGAATTCTCTTTTCGGACCTTGCGTTGCGCGGGATCCACCCGAAAAAGCTCTTCTACCAGGGCGCCTTGGCCGCCCTGGAACCCTTCTTTTGCTAGGCAGCCCTTCATGAACCCGAACCCTTCGGCGGGCCCCGCAAAAAGGGCAAAAGGGGTGAAAAGCCGCCTGACTCCAACGGTTCGTTCTGGCTGCTTAGATACCTCACGCAACCTCAGGTGTCGTTTTAAGATGCTCTGAGGTTAGGCAACGAATTTCAACGAACCAACAAGGCCCCCATGTGCTTTGCCTTCATGATTTTTTCGCGGGTGCTGGTGAGGGCTCGTTCTTTCTTTCGTTCAGCGTCGCGAAGTGGGTCGACCCACCACCATGCAAATGGCTCGCCCGCTGTGGCGCCATAAAGAAGCCGAAAGACAAGGAAATCTCGCAAAGCGACGAAAAACATCCTTCTAAATAGGAAACCACCACAAAAGCCAGCTACACAAAGGATTCTCCAACTACTTCACGCTAAACCTTGCGTCGGAGCTTGAATTACATGTCGCACTTCACAACTACACTTGGATTCTTGATTCTTTCGCCTTCCCCCTGAGCCGCTACATCAGGGTTGGCGCTCTGGTGTTCCAGGCGCATTCTTTCGCGTTTCCATGGGAAAACGCTGGCAGAAAAATCCCGTGGATGCACTTGGGGGCCTTCAATGCAAGCAGAAGAAACTGACAAATCAATCATACATGTGCAAGCAGAGAATCACTGAGTCCAGTGCACTTTGGCCAAATTTCGGAGTGCCAAGGGACGCATGCTCAGCAGGCTCAGACACCTCCGAGCCATTGCAACAGCAGAACTTAGAAGATGCTTTTCTTCCTCGAGTTCCTCGAGGCTTGGCCTTGACAGCGTCACCAAATGCAACCTCCACGCACGGATGCTCTCGCATCAAGAGTCCTCTCACCAACAGCACAAGATAGAGCCCTTTTCTCCCAATCATACTCAACCAGGGAGGCATAGGTTCAACATCAAGCCATGCTCCGGCTCAGTATGTCTACCACGGGCATGATTTGCTGGAGTGATTGGTCCTGGCTCTGCAAGGCCTGGAACAGATGCGCCGAGCAGGCGGACAAAAAGTCGACAGGCACCGCGATCGTCCGTGGCCCGCCGTAGCTGCGGTAACCTCCAGAGATTTTTGCGAAGTAGCTACGCAGTTACCCAAGACACGGAAAAGAGGGTTGCATCCTAACCAGCACGCTGTCCGTGAATAAGGTTCGCACTGGCATGTGCTGCACTTGTTCTGCAGCCACGCGCCGCTGAAGAACCAAGCAGCTTGGTACATCAACGCTTTCCGGCGGCATGCTGCTTGCGCAGCTGCTGATGTGTTTGCATTCACGTTCTGCTGTGCAGCTAAGGCTAGGCAATACAGATAGCACCATGCAGCTTCATTGACAGAATCATTGCCGCAGAACGTCGCACATTTCATGTCCATTGAGGCCTCACTGGCCTTGAGAGCTGCCAGAAGCACGCGGAAGCACGATCACACAAGGACAAAGTTCGCCATGTCGGCTGCTGGCTCCCCCATCTTGGCAACCAGCCTGTCTTTATAGGAGCGCTGCCCTGAACGGCAGTGGCAGCCTGATCACTCCATGTGGCTAGCGTCTAGCGGCAGCGCAAAGTCTGCTGATGGCACTTCTCAGGGCGCTGCCATCAGGACCTCGTCATGGCAGCGGAGGGTGGCGAAACACCACGCCGTAGCTGCAGTCTACTGCGCCTCAGGCCTGGTCATGAGCCATGCTACTTGAGGCTGCTGGTGGTATTCGAGGTTTTGGTCACTTCGGCCGGCGCATCCACCCACGGCCCAATAAGCTAAGATTCGAAAATGAAAATACAGCCTCAGTGTTATGTAGCTACTTCCTCGCTGTTCTTTATGGGTCTCTCTCTCTCTGTTCTGCATTCCATTCTGCCCGATCTTTTTCTTCGTACATCGTCGTAGTTGGCTGGGTCTCTGCTTGTGTGCTTGGGGGGTTGGTCCAAGGGTCTAGACTTTTCCGTAGCCATCTGCGTAAGTTGTAGGTCCGTAGGTCGGACTGCAGAAGACGCTTTGGTGGTGAAGCTGCTTTGTGCAAAGCCGCACAAGAAAGTGCTGGCCCTGGTCCTCGCTCGCTTCGGGACTCGGACTTCCACTACAATCAAGTACTTAGAGACTGTAGGCTAAACGCTTGTCTGGGTTTCTGCCAGCCCTTCCGCTCCAGCCATTGAGAGAGTGGCACACACCTCAAGCGCCTGTCCACTTGCGTGAGGGCGCAAATTGACAGGATTCTGACCCTGGGCCTGCTGAGCATCGTCATGGCCTGGCAGCATGTCGACTTTGGGAGCGCGGAGTGCCTGCAGAAGGCGCAGGAAGGAACTCTCCTGAAAAAATATGATGCCCTTCTGCCACTGTAGTACAATCGCTGCCTAAGAAAACAAGTTGAAGGATGCGAGTGTCCATGAAAGGGCGTCAAACTTCGGAGCATTACATCAAAGCCCTCCCACTACTGTAATTAAAAGGATTACAGGCTTACAGCAAATGAAGACGGTCCACAACAGATTGTCTTGAAGGGGACGCAGTTGGGAATGTTTCGGCCTGAGAGGTTGCTCAAAGATGATGAGAACTATATTCTTTGTAGGTGCCCTGGTCTGGCGGCCACGTCGTCGGGCCTCAACAAGAACATGTAGGGGGCTGCACTTCATTTTCCCCAAAGAATGTGCTGCCTCCTTGTGTTCAGAGTTAGGGATATTGGTTTGGATGCCCGCTCTGCACTTTTCGCCTGCAGCATGTTAGCAATTTGGCTTGAGATCGCTTCCTGTCACACTTGTCTGCAAATTTTGGGGGGCTCTGGCATGGGCTCAGAATTCGGGCTCGACATCGTGATCCCGCCAGCCCCATTTCACCATCCCTGCTCACGTCGTGGCCGCTGAACGGCTCTCGCGCGGAGTGTCCACACACGTTGTTGTGTTTGCCATTAGAAGGGTGTTCTGTTGGGGTGCTCCTAGAGTGCCTCTTCGATGCTCTTGCAGTGCAGGTAGTGATCTTGGAAAGGTCCTGGACTGGGGCCCTAGTCCTTTTGGAGCGCTCTCAAGGACCAATGGCTCCGACTCAAACGGTGCCCAAGCGTACACACCCGGAACTGCTGGAAATGTCAGGAACATACAAGGTATCCCACTCTATCTAAAATAGCTCTTATCCTAGCTTTGTGCGGTAATTCAGCGCTGCTGTGTCTGAGACTCCTGTGGTTGTCTTTTACGATCGCGCGCACCTTTGAGTGCCTCTGCAAACAATCCGTCGCTGTCGGCACTATGGCGCCAGCTTCCATATCCATTAACTTCAGTGGGCCCTCGTGCTTTGCGAAGGACAAGCTCTATTTGACAGAGCACTGGCGCGGAATTCACGCATGCTCATCTTTCTCTGTGGTGTCTCTGTGTTGTGACACAGACTTTCCAAAACGCCTCTGGTTCAGCACCATCAGAATAGCTTGCTCCCCTTCAGGGGAGGGTGCATGTTCTGTTCTTCTGCATGCCCGGCATCTTGCCTCTCAGGTCGAAGCAGACGACACGAACACAGACGATGCGGTCGACCTTGCCTGGGACATCCTCGCCGTTGTCAAACCTCGAGAAGCATCACTTTCCTTTTAAAGGAGTTTCCTCAACCGCTGAGTCGACAACCACTTGCCACCCCAATAAATCCACTTGTTCAGTCGGGGTTCCATGCAACAGCACCTGCGTAACCCACTTTGCAAGGAGGTCACGGCGTTAGATCCGCTAGCAGGCTCCTGCAACTGAGGCCATGCACATGTCTTGCACGTACTCATGTGGACGTCGTCTTAGGCGACGCTCCGCAGAGGAATCCTCCTGACCTTAGCAGGCCCACGCAAGTTTCTGGATGGCTGCTGCATACAGGTGAGTGTCCGGCAATGAGGTGGCGGCGCTTTGCCTCCGAAATGCCAGCAGCATGGACATAGAAAAAGGCTCCTAGATTCTTAGATTGGCTTTCTTGCCTGGAGTGGGGCACTTGGGCGGCTTGAAGCTGTGACATCTCGCAAACCAGGACAGAAGCCAGTCCGTCACCTCCTCACATGCGAAGCTCATGGACAAAGAAGGGCAGAGTAATAACTGCAGGGCTGGCAAATTGCTTCGTGTTGTGCATGGACAGGTACACGATGGGCACACCATCAGGGTACCACCTGAGACCACGAGCCGAGCAGGTTCTACAAATGACAAAAGCATGCTCACCGCAAAATTATGTTCACTGCAAGTCTGAGGAACCAACTTGGAGTCCTGCATCGGTTTTGGATCCAGCTGCCATCTTTCTTTGAACAAAGCCCACTCCAAATCGAATTTGCACCACTCCTGGTCGCGACATGTCCGAGTTTTGCTTGGTGAAACTTCAAATACGACAAGGAGTCCTTTGTGGCTCCGTCGCGCCAAAGGCCAACGTTGAGCATGTCCTCTAAATTTCACTTGCCAGGTTTGCAGAAATTGATTGATATATTATGACTCCGACCTGCCTCGTCCTCCATCATGAAGGAACCGTACTTGACCTGCCACGTGATGCAAGAAGGCTCCGCAACACGAAGCCGTGCAGTAGAACCTGTCGAGGGGATCTCTTGTTGGCCGCGAGAACTGACAGAAGTCCACTGGAGACCGCTGCATTCAGGTCCCACGCCTGCATGCTCCAGGCCTGCCCGCTTGCGAAATCAAGATGCCGTAGTCAACTAGCTCATCAAGACAGAGCAGAGCTTCAAAGACAAGCCGAAAATCGTAATGTCGCGAAAATCTGCGAAAATAATCATTGAAATTGATGATGGCTGGTAGCAGACGACGTGCATGAACAGCGACGCAGGATCCGGATGATGGATGCACAAAGCTGACGGCAGCTGGGATTGGTGGCAAGATGCGGACAAGCAGGAGAGAAACACAGGAAGCACAAGGAGCAGGAGGAGTGGAAGGCCGAGGAGGCGGAGGAGGAGGAGCTGCAGGAAGAGTAGCAGAAGGACAAGGCCACAAAGCGCAGAAGTAAAAGACACCACGCACTCAAAAAACAAACGGCGAGTTAAATGGACGGTCAGGAGAGGAGGAGGAGAACATGGCTGGTGGTGATGAAAACGGAACAACTGCAACAATCATGAGCACAACAATGATGATGATGATGATGAAATGCTGCTGCGGATGAAAGTAAAACTCTGCGGATGCAAAAATCAGCAGCAGCCATGTCATGGCAATGATGAAGCGCATGGTGATAAAGGGGTCCTCTCAATGCCAACGATAACAAAGATGACAACCATCTGTACAACAATCATGATCATCATCATCATCATCAGAATCATCATCATTATCACCACCATCATCTTCTTCTTCGTTCTTCCCATCGCCCCAGTCAAAAACAATTTGCGCCACCATAATGCTCACCAGTACTATCACGGCGATCGGGAAAAGTGGAGGGGGCATGAAAAAATGCGAGTACACGCAAGAGATGGGGAAGAGATGGCTGTCCCGCTTATGATGAAGGGATGGTAACGACAACGCCTGTGCGGATGATACCTAAGGATTGGCGATGGATGGTGATAGGTGGCCATGCGATAATGACATGCTTGATGTCGAGGATGAAGCAGCTGATGATGATGGTGATGAATTTCGGAGCATGATGGTCACGATGCTGTTGAAGACAAACATGGCAACGTTGATGACCATATACAGGATAGCGACCATGATGCTGGGCATAAGAATGCATAAAGGCAACTGCAGGTGCGATTGATGCTGGGTTCGTGCAACGGCTGCCGACAGGTGATGATAGACTCAGCTTTCACAGGCTCGTGATGATGCTAGTGGCTGATAGACACCAACCCAACTGCCCCCCCCCCCCTGAAGCCTCGGTTCCTGTGAGCCAAACCATTTAGTCCAGGCTAGCTTGCCCCCAAATGATGGAATCAAAGCTTCGCTTCGTGGCTTCTCGACCTGCTTTAACCCTAAGGCTATAAGCATTTGACCACGCAGAATTGTTCTGCTGCACATGCAGCTTGGCGTGAAAGTAGCAATGAACCGTGTTAATCTCCCTCGAAGCTTTTGAATGAATAGTTACTAGGGTGAACGTATGTTTCAGCCTATCTTGGTGAGTCGGATCCAAGGCGGCTTTAGGTTTGATTCCCGCCTTCACTTTTGTCTTGAAGCCGGCAATAAACCTTGCGCGTCAAAATGCATCCAGAACCTCGAGAAATGTAGCGGCGCCTCTCATGAAGAAGATCTGCTAGAAAAGGCAAGGCCCAGAAGGTCCATGACCTGAAGTGAAGTGGCAGAGCTTCGTGTAAGAGGAGATCATGGCGGGATGTTCAGGTCAGCACGGGTGAGCATGACCCCACCTGTAGCCACCGTTGCCCAGTAGCTTGCAACTGTTTGCAACTCTAGTGCTGTTCCGGTGGCAAGAGGCACCTCATCGTCCGGTGGCCAGCCCACCCCTCGAAGTTCATGTCCTCGTGTTGGGTCCATGTCATCTCGTGTCCAAAGAAAGCAGATCTATCCAGGGCACTGGCGGAATACAGCTCTCCCTTCTTCGCCTGACGTGAAACTTTGTCACAATTTGGAGCCACAATCAACAAGGAAGGTGAAGCATCAGACAGCACAGCTCCGGCAATCACGGGGCGGCGCCACGTCTCGTGACATCCTTGGTTTGGGTTGCAGATGCTCATGCTCCAAGTAATGGCATCTTTGAGTGCTGCCGAGCATCCAATGGACTGGCAGCATGGGCCATGGGTAGTACGAGTTGATTTCGCGGCGTGAGGCAGCAAACATCCTGTCAAATGCCATGACTTTCAATGGTGATGTACACCGCTAAGCGCATGTCGGAGGAACAAAGCGGATGATTTTAGATTTGTACTGTCTGTCGCTGGAGAAGATGCGGCTCCGAGCGGCCTCTCCACCCCTGGCGCGATGAGCTGGTCGGTATCCTGTGCAGGTTCTGACAACTAATCTGCGGAAAAAGGTCTTATGCAGGGGTCGACAAGCATCTCTTGTCTTTAGCTACGTGCCACAGGCTTTTCGGACATTCAACATCCAAGATCCCAGTCCAGCTGAATGCCAGCAAGGGCTTTGGCGCCGATCATGGCGCGGAGCTTGTTGAAGTTGAAAGACACCGCCCGTCCTGCAGAGACCACGACCCAAATCAAGCCGTTCGCGTCTTGGAGCAGCAATTGCTGTAGAAGCCTGGTAAGGGCATCATTTTGTACACAATCACCTCCGCAGCGGCATGACGCAAGTGGGCCCAATCTGTTGTCCCCAACCAGTCAGCACAGGCAAGCCGCGTTGGGAAATCCGCGCCACTGCCACGGAGGGACATATTGCTCATCAAAAACCTCCAGGACTTGAATTCGAATGTCACCCGCCACAGTGTAAGCTGAGGTCGCAGCCACCACCACAACAGGCTTGGAGGAAAAAAGGTCAATGGACCGGATGAGATTTGTCGCCTCAACCAGCGCGCAGTAACCCTGCGTCCTTGCATTTCACCCCGCAAAGCCTGGAGGCTGTAGATGGAGTCCTGCACTCCAGCCACATATGTCCTAGGCTGTGAGCTTCAGGCCGTGTGATGTCAGAAAAATTCGCCTGCGATAGGGCGCAGGCACGAAAGCCTCTTCCAACCAACCCGACTCCGGCGATGTCCAGCGCAAAAACTGATCGAGAAAGTCACAGTCCAAGTAGGTCTGCCTCGTAGCAGGCATCTGGCCGTTAGCATGCCAAGCATTTCTGAGATGTGGACCACAAAGGTTGCAAGGAGGTCTCTTCGCACATGGCCTAGCGGGCACGGACCAGTTTTACAGGTCACTTCAACCAGCACTAGCTGTCACCAGCTGCGTTGCCTCAAGACTGCGGTCCCAAACGCTTTGGGCCGCTGCATGCTCATGGCCATCAGCCGGCACCTGCAGATCGAGAAGTGCGACTGGTTCTGGAACCGGCCAAACCTGCGCACACCTGCGCACACCTGCATTCCTCGAGGCTGGGCCCGCTGCTCTGGAGGAGCCACGGTCGCATGACCAAAGCTGTGCAACTCTGGATGAGCGACACCTGCACCAACCCATTCCAGAGAGGCCTCTCTGATGGTGTTGTGCTCTAATTATGTTCTGCGATGCAGAGACCCCTCAGCCAGCTACTCCTCCGCAACCGAAGTCGGCGCCCCAGTCCTGCGCAGTGAAGTTGCTCCGCAAACAGAAAGCCCACGCACCAACGAGGCCGGTCTTCTTGCCTCCACTTCTGCTTCTGCAGCTCGACATGCTTGCCACATGCAGCTGGGCACGCTTCCCTGAGCTCACACAATGCTCGCACTGAAAGAAACATGACAGGACAGAAAACGATCTCAGCACAAGGCAGAGAATACCGCGAGCACTTCTGCAAGTCAGCCTTGGAGCCGTCCTGACTATGGCGACTAAGGCACACAAGATGGCAACTCACAATCGGAAAGTCGAAAGGTGAAAAGGCTCCCCAGCTCTCCCAAGGCCTCGCAGGTCCTTTTACCCAGGATAGCCTGCCAGCAAAGACCAAGTTGAGCTGCCCACTGCACAACGAAGTTGAAGGGATACTAAAATCTGTTACTGGATACAGAACCAAGTCAGTTGATCCTGCAGCCGGGAAAGCCAATAACAGCTGATGGCACAACCACAGAAGGTGATAGCACAACTAGTGATCATAATTGCGGAATACTCCTTCCAAAAGGATATGCGCAGGTGCTTTCTCTTGATCTGTCGTTGGCCAGGTTCACGAGGAACACAGTGCATCGATGTCGCTTAGGCTTTCAGCATGAGTCTGCATGCAACACGAGGAACACAATACCTGGATGTCATATGGGCTTCCAACACGGACTACTAGTAGCATATTTCGAATACAATCTGCTTTGACCCTACAATATTCTTCTCAGACCTCAGTCATAAGAAATAGCACGCTAGTTCGGAGGTATCACGACCGAAGGCATGTCTTGATTGATTTCGTCTGCCTAAGGGAACCATGACCAATTCAGCTTATTGCATTCGCATACTGTTTGTATTCGCTGGCTATGAATGTCGGATTCTCGTGGCCCTTCAAAAACTGACACAGCTTGTAGAAACTCCCCTTTTGACTCTGATAACCCTCATCTAGTTGCAGCATACCCTAGACGTGTGCGCAAAAGACTGGCCAAAGCCTTGGTTGCAGCTTTGGCAATTGCAGCCCCGATCTTTGAGAAGTCTCCGCTGGCTTCCATCCACTGATACACCTCTGCGAGTGAAGAGCCATGCCCAGAAAACAGTTGACTTCCTGTTGCTTCTGCGCTGGGCGACCAACCCGGGAGATTGCGAGCAACTGAGGAGAGTCCGCCTGAAACTTGGACTTGTTCGGATAGCCCGCAGTATTTGCCTCCATGCCTTCTCAATCCATGCAATTAAGCCGTCAATCACGGACCAAAGCGTACCTGCCCATCAGAAGGCAC